TATATATATATTTATTTATTTATTTATTTATTTATTTATTTATTTATTCATACTCAAATGAGTTATCTAATGGCTGGGAATGCATTTCTGAAGAACTTTCCAGCAAGTGACTTCCAAGAAACGAAAGGAAGTAATGCACATAACAATAATGCTTATGCAACCTCTTGTTGCAGTACTTCTGAAGCAACGAAGACGAATTTGCCCAACTGCCTTATGGAAGGTGGTAAGCTGTGATGGTCTATAACTTCTTCATTAAAAAGTGTGGGATAGTAAAGAGCTTCATAAACGTTACGTGAAGGCAATCAGTATATCTGATCACGATGAAACATATATGCAATCGAGAGACGCTCTAATGCATCTCATCCTACCAACAGTATCTATTAGGGCGAAGTAACCGGGGATCAGCACAACAATACTGAGCGCGAGGCGAGTGCAACAAGAATGCCAGAAAACGACAGAATCAATAATGCAGAAAAGAAGAATAACCTCCACAAGATATTGATTTGATATATGTAAGAAAAATAATACAACTACTAACTTTTTCATTTTTAATTCAAATATATTGCAGAATTTTTCGAACTTTAATCATTATACAGAACATGGTTTCATTCAAACATACTTTTCAGGTGTTACTGCGCCAATCAACACATTTTCACGTAGAGCTGGATTTTTTTTGTCACGCAGATTGAAAACTCTACTTCGAAGAGCGGCTCTGTATTTCTCCGAAGTACCACGATGCACCTAATCATGCCAAACTTTACTGTCAGCAGGTATGTGTTCGGACAACAAAAATCATTAAAAGGTGTAAGATTTATTAAGCGATTTAAAATTGAAAAAATCTTCCCGTAATTACAATTTGAATGGCAAAGAAAAATAAATCTCCCTCAGAACACAGAATAAAATGATTAGTTTATTCTCGAGTTAAAAAAATAGATGATTACTTTCTCGCGCTTCGAAGAACAGCTTATTGTAACGTTTGTTAGCTCATATTAAGACTTGACCGACCTCACTACTCTCGTAGATTTCATATTTCATTATATTTTTTAGCTAACAGTAAAATAAATGACCAAATGTGGGAAATAAAATTTCCAGCATTAACAAATATAAACTCCCTATCTAAAATAGGCTGAAAACTTACTTCAAATAATTTTTTTTCGGTTCGAATTGCCAAATCTTCAGGATCAAGAGTACCATCTGGAAGATCTTTCGAAATAAGAGCATCCAAAATCATTGTAGCGCACTTATTTCTTATCTGTAAATGAAGTCATATGAAAATTATCGCTAAAATTCAATTTAGGAAAAACAATAAATCCCAGAACACATAAAAAATAGTGATAATTTTAGTAAGATTTATCCAAAACAAGGACCTAAAGAATTACTCAAAAACTGTCACATTTCGATACTACTTACTGCAAAAGATTTGGTAAGCTCAAGAACCATCACTCATGCATAATCATACCTCATCGACAAGAAGCTGTTTCTTTGCTGCAGGTGTTACTAAAGAGTTGGCTGAACCAGAAATATTTTTTTGTAGATCTGAAGATTGAGACAAAGCCTTGGAATTCCCATTTGAAGCAGATGCAGACACACTGTTTTTTGCCAGTGAACTCTTTGCATCATTTTTACTATTACTACTTGTCCTACCCGCCAACAAAACTTTCCACTCCTAAACTATGATAAACTGGAATGGATAATAAGAACCTCAGCGAACAATAATAATCATAAAAAAGCTATTAACTGAAAATATCAGTAGAACGTGGTAAACAATAGGCTGCTTTTTATCATTTCAATCAAAATTTCCATATACAAATATAAAATAGATCATTTGACAAAACATGAAAAATAATGTATAAATGTATTAGACCCTTTGATTCAACTGAGGAACCATGACTTGATATGTTAAATATGAATTTGACAATTCACAGCACCTCGATTAATGATTATTGATAATTTTGATTTCCCACAAAAAAAAAATACAAATATAAAATTTTCGATTTCTTTTGTGGAAAATCGACATTATTAATAATCATTAATCTAGGCCTTTAGTTACAGTAACAGGTAAGTAGTAAAAATGCTTATACCTTAATTTTTTCGAAAATATCATACACTTTGATTCAATTAAAGGACTGATTCTAATTTGTTTACTCAAGACGTTTTAAATTATTCTTCCAAGAACGTCTTGACTTGAATACAATCTACTTAACAAAAAGCCACTTCTACAGTTTATCATACACAATGAAACAAGAGGCATGTACGTTTATGATATTAAATGGGAGAATAAAATGAAAATGTAGGTGCATCTTCATAAGTTTTGAAAGCTTTATGTACACTTAATCATGTAATGAAGCTTACAAGAGTAAAAATTTACAGTATAAGAAAGTTAGTGTTTCTAACAACCAGAACTTTTTATTAACAGACTTCAGTAAAAAAAAGATTGAAAATATAAGAGACAGTACGATTCAACTATCAATGTAGTCAGCAAGCAATTTTGCAGAATAAACTATCCTGATACTTCCAACAACAGGAGGAAAAGTTACTAATTTAAAAGAATCCCTACGAAAGTAAACACAACGTACAAGGTTCTATAACATTTTAAATAAAGAACACAATTCCGATACCTTGATCAAAGCTTTAGCTCGTTTTGCAATATGTTCATCACTAGTTTTCTTGCGTAAATCATTAATAGTCATACCAATTCGAGTTTTCTAAAACTAACATAGCTGATTAACTTCAAAAACATATGAATAATACAAAACCTATTTGTTGTTTAACTTCATATTCAGTAAAAAAAAAAAACCAGGTAAATTTACAGTCAGAATATTGATATCAACCGGCAGAGTTGATAATGCGTCCAACAATTCCATCGCACTATCCATCTGAAATCACAGAATTTATGCAAACGAATATTAAAAAACTGTTTTCAGATATCAACTTTCTATTTGGTAGTTAATGCAAATATCGACTATGAACGCAAAAGATCATTCCAGAACAAAATCAAGAATAATAAAAATCTCTTTACTGCTCTAGTCCCCATTACTTGAGCATTATTCTGAACAAATTTTGTCATGAAATGTATTCAAAATTTTTCTCTTCCATTTCCAACATTTTCTTCAATAAAAATTAAATATCTGAAGCCAAATTCCCACTCATCAAACAAGGTGATATACATTTTGCAGCAGCTTTTCAGACTTTTGATGAATATAGTTGAAACATTTCTTACATTTAAAAATTTTTGAAGATAGGTGCTTCACAGCAGAGATTACTCAACATGGTATTTATACATACTTGAATGATGTATCTGAAGTAATGACGAATGAGTCTAATTCCAGGCAAAGCAAAAAAACTAACAGATTTTGTCCCTTGAATCATACGTTCGAATTTTTTACCGATCCGGAGTACCTCATCTTCACATGAAGCCATTTCTCAACTAAATGATGCCTAAAACTGAGTCAGATCCACAAAACAAAACCAAGGGAAATAACCATAACATGGAATCACAGTAGAATAAAAACGCTGAAGCATAAACATAATAACGCAGCCGATACCTTTCACTTCTCTTATTGCAATACGAAAATCAAAGTTTCACTCCTTTTTTATTTCACGTATTGAGCGGTATCAATCTTTTTGAACAGCTAATTATGTAAAAGCATTAGCAAGTGAATTGCTAATGCCAATTCTGATTAATTGCACAAAATATATGCAATCTGAAGTGTGTAACAAGCAGATAATAGTGGTTGATTCGAAAAGGTTTTAAGACTGTCTCCCACTAATTTGAAGTAGTATTTTTCATTTTATTCCGATAAGTACCGACCGCTTCAAATTATATTCGAGAAAAACAATTTCACTGCAAGCTTGTGAATGCTTGTCTCATCACTGACTGCCACGAGGTCAGTTTTGTACATTATCACATGCTCATTACTAACATGAAGTTTGCATAGTTAAACAAAAGTCACAGTCAGGTATTTCCATCAATCTCTAACTGAAATGTGAAAACAGATTCCGAGAAGTAATCAAAAGACGTAAACAACATGCATCATAGAGTAAAGTCTTCTTTGCATCCACACTCTTAGCTTTTTCTTAACAGTGTACAGCTCTCAGGAAATGTTGAAAAGTAAGAGAAGGAAATCAACGAGAGACTAACTAGCTAGTCCTTTCATGATTTTGTTCTGGAATGATCTTTTGCGTTCATAGTCGATATTTGCATTAACTACCAAATAGAAAGTTGATATCTGAAAACAGTTTTTTAATATTCGTTTGCATAAATTCTGTGATTTCAGATGGATAGTGCGATGGAATTGTTGGACGCATTATCAACTCTGCCGGTTGATATCAATATTCTGACTGTAAATTTACCTGGTTTTTTTTTTTACTGAATATGAAGTTAAACAACAAGTGAATGTAGTTGTACGTGCGACAACTACATTCACTCCTAATAGATGAATACAGAAGTGCTTGCGTATTCTCAGAGATATCGAAATGATCTAAATAAGATAAATATTAAGGAGTTTTTAAAACATACTTTGATAAATTTGTCGCACGTACAACATCGCAGAAGCAGCAGTAGACGAAGTATTAGCCCCAAAGCTTTATCTCATCGCTAATAATCAGAATCACTGATAATAATGATATCCTTTGTATCAGTATTTGCATTTTTCACTGCTGTTTTTATATTAATTTTATCTCTGAAATTTGTGCAACGCCCAATGAAGTGACGCAAAAAATAATTAAGTAAAATTAAATCATTAAATCATCTTAGCACTCAAATTCAAAAGTCTAACAAGCAAATGTTATCATTATTGGCTTCTAAGATGATCAAAATTTTAGAGGACGGAAGAAACTTGTAATTATTATCCAAGTAATATTCACTGAAAATTAACACTGAAAATTTTCAGTGTGAAAATTTTTGTGAAAAGCAATCATTTCGTAAAGAAACAAAAGAGTTATCAGAATGCGTGAAATTTAAAGTTTGGTGAATTGAGACAAAAAAAATCTTTTACAGCAAATACGCATGCGTTCTGAAAACAATTCACTTAACGATTGTTTACTTTTTGACGTAGTCAATCTTAATTTTCGTAAATTAAGGTCGAACTTCGACACATATTTAATGCTTTATGGAAAGCTTACTAAAGAAGCTGACATCATATTTACAACTTTAGACTTTTTCAATCAATTTCTTAAGCAAAAGAATTTAAAAAGAGAAGGAAACCAGTGATTTATAACAGTTTAAAAAAAAGATCTACAACTTGACATTTATTCAGTTTAGTCCTCAACAAACTGCATTAATTAACTAGAAATGTCTCACTGTGTGAAGCATACGAAGTCGGATTTTACTTCTAATTGTTGCGGAATTTCTTTATCATTGTCAAAAGACGTATCGTAATGATAGCAGCAAATTGGTTGAGATGAGGAGGTGAAGAACGTAATGGGAGTGCATCAGTTTTCACGCTTCACACAGTTCGCCAATTTACCTTCTACCTTCCAGTGCTTCTATATACTTAATGCTATGTATGTGTGAGTACTTCTTCAATGCTCCAACACTTTCATGAAAGCGCATTTGCCTTGCAGACACTTCGTTTTCGCTTCGCCCATCTTCGGCACTCACTGACATACGTCATGTCAACTTTTTCTTGCTAACCCCGGGGATATGCAACAATGTAAAAAGTTTAAGAAAAGAGACGAAATTTATACAATATTCGTCATTTGAGCTATGCTAAACGCACTACTTCAAACTTATTGAATAAATTTATTAACAAACTTAAATGTATCATTTTCGTTCAATTACTCACTAATTCTTTTTTCTAGATATTGAATACTGAAACTGTTTTGATATTGATGTTAATTCAATTCAAGTCAAGTATAAAAGTTTGCGAAGATGAATTAGCTGTACAAGTTCATTCGAAGTTTAATGCTTATTCTTTATATAGGTTCCTGCACATGATTGTATTTGGTTTTCCTCAGCATTACATTTTATTAAATAATGAAAAACAAGTAAAAATTAAAATCTAAAAATCACTTATGAATTTCTGAGTTTCAAGTTTAAATCATATCCATCACTTCCTTACACTGTTTTATTAACTGCCTTAATAGTCTGACTTATAAGTAAGACATTCATAAATGAAAAGTGAAAGAAGTTAAGTTGAGTGCAGCTGAAAATTATATTTATAGAATCAATTATCATTGCAGTTTAATTGCTTTGCATCTAAATTCATCAATGCTGTGATCAAATTGCAGCAAGCCTCTTGCTATTTAGTTGAAGATTCTCTTATTAATTCAAACTTTTTCTCCACTCTTGGTTTAAGGCTGCGTTGATTACAATTCAATACAGTCTAAAAAAGAACAGTAACAAATATGATGCATAGTTTTGAAAATAAAAAACTCACAATTTCGAAAATCAGTAAATATTTAACTTTTTGCCACTGCATGTGAACGGGCAATCAAAGTGGGGTAATGTTTGCGCACGAAAATAGAGTGCTAAATTTGATTGTTGAATGGGAAAGGTGAAAAGTTTGCTTATATCTTTTCCTCAACAAATTTATTTAAAATAGACTTATACGGAGTGGTCGACAGTCAAACTGCAGCCAATTTTCAATTTCTGACCTTCTTTAACACTTTATTCGAAAGTTAATTTTAATAGTACTATCAAAAAAAATTACAAGTCGGATCGACATTGTAACACTTTTTCTGTAATGCAGTTAGCTTGCTAAGCATAAATATTAATGAAATGTATAAAAATAAAATAAAGTGAGCAAATAGTTATTTAAAAATATTTGTGGACAATAGTTTTAGTTTGACAGTGTCACTTAGTAAAATTAAAGTTAATTAATGTGCTTACTTTATGCAAAGTTTTAATTTTGTATAAGTTGCATTTGCTTTTTCTTGTTTTTTTTCCTTTTCTTAAATTAATCAAAGTGTTCATTGCAACTAAAAACAAAAAAATGCGTCATGATGTTGCATAACTTTTGATAGTTGTACTTAACAAAATAAGTGCATTAATTCACATTCTGTATCAGATATGGTCAGACGCGAATACAATGGATGACAGTTACATAGTGCTGGATGTTGGTGGACGATTATTCAAAACAAAAATACAAACATTACTGTCTGCAGATGATTCTTATTTTCGAAAACTATTATCTACAAGTTCGAAGCACTCACTAAATTCGGTAAATTTGTGTTTGTAAAAACTTTTGTTGAATGGTATGAAACTTAATGAAACTGCAAACTCAATAAAAATTGAATGTTTACAAATGAAAATGATCATATTTGATTCTGATTACAATCAAAAATATTTTTTTATTTCTGAAAGTGTTTGAGTCATGTAAACATGAAATGTTACATGAAATGTTGACTCAAAAAGAACTGAAACCAGCAGTTGAAAATAAGTTAATTTTTGCGGTTTAAAATCTTAGAACAAAGTTTTTACTTTACTTTATATAGTATTGAAGATTAATTTTGTTACATATAATTATTTAGTAATAAAAAAATAAAAAGAGTAGTAAACAATTTTCGATTGCTATTAATTTTCGCTCATCGTAAAACAAAGTTAAGCTGAATAATCCATCAAAATTTTGGACGAAAAATTTATATACTTGTTATTTTTCTTAATTCTGTGAGAAGCAACTAAAAGCAAATTGGCAGAATGCAAAAATTGCAGGATGGACATCTGTTCATTGATCGTGATGGCGAGATCTTCTCAGTAGTTCTTGGATACCTCCGACACGGAAAAAGTTACCCACTGCCGAATGATGACTATAAGTTAAGTCAAATTGTCTTCGAAGCTCAGTTCTATCAATTGTCTGAGCTTGCTGAGACAGCTGAAAATTATCGTTCATACTTGCTGCAATCTTCAGTTCCATCGAAATTTCCAGTGATTTTGCAGAAGGAAAGAAATTCATCGAGCAAGCATACACCCTCGAAGAACAGAGCAGAATTATCGTCTCCTGTTTTATCCATTCGTAAAATTTTAATTTTAATTCACTTCCGTTCCAACTTGTTAAGTCACGAATGAAACAAAATCTTAAAGGCAAACATTTGTTAGACGATTGGAAATTACCGAATCAATAAGCAAAGCATACGTGAAAACTTTGAAAACCTGAAGCTCTTTATGTAAACAAAAACAGGTAGTGGAGGGAAAGGAGAACCTTACATTCCACCTAATTTTCTCTAAGAAAAAAAGGCAAAACTGCACAATTTCTGAGTCACAAAGAGTATAGAAAGTAAATTTCGCAAATTATTTACACATTAAAAAACATCGGTCTTTAGAAATGCTTTATGACTACAATTTGCACAATTTCAAGCAACGATCGCGCCACCTTTACCGATTAAATCTGCTGGAAGTAACACTACACTACTGAGAAGATTATCGAAGACATTGCAGAAAAAAGTAAGCAAAGACGAAATCCACATTGGACCACCAAAACACTTCAAGTGAATCTTTTGAGTTCTGAAGAAATCAAAGCAGAAAATAGCTTAAAATCCATTGACTGTATAACTTTGGTAATTTTGGAACAAAGCAATGAAAAATATTTAGGAATGTTGCAAAAGTTATTAACTTTGAAAGTTTGTCAGTCATTCATAATAATATTTGACCTCGATAATACAGCGCTTATTTTATTATTTTAAGGAAATTACTGCAAATAATTTTAAAGTTTAAGGCATGTCGTGCATATTGGATGGGGCGATGATGGCCAGAAAATAATCATAGATCATAGTAATCACGACGAAAAAACTTTGAAAGCGGTCGTCCAAGCTATTTACGAGCAAACTTCAACATTACCGGTAACTTCTAACAACTTCTCAAACAGTGTACATTGCATTCTATAATTAAAAGATGCTTCTTCAAACCATTTTGCAATAAATGTCATAATTTGTTTGAACGAAGTGAGACTTAACTGATAGCCAAATTGTGTTTCTGCCAAAGGAAATCTTGAGTAAACGCAGAAATTACTTTACTCCCTTCGGTGTTCAATAATAACAGAGACTTACAACTTTATCAAATCTTATAGTTTCTGAAATTTGCATATAATTTCACCAACTATCAAAAATCATGACTGCTCTAATGTGCTCTACATTTTCCAAATTCAGTCAATGAGTCAGTCAAAAACCCATCAATTTAGATGAATAATTTTTGAAACTATTTAAGTTAGTATATAGTATGGTGGATACAAATATAGACAAGGATAGCAGTGAATCCGTGGAAATATTCTTCACTAAATCAACAATTCAAGCTTTTCGAAACCCCAGCAGTGCTTCAGAAGTGGCACTTGGTCTACAAACTGGCGTTTATGATAATTGTTGTTATGAAATTGCACGCTCGGAAACAATAAACAAAAATTACGCCAAATCAATGAAAATAAGTCCAATTGTGACAGACATGTAATGTTCGACATTGTTTGACTTCAGCTTTATTTTAATTGTGTTTAGGTTTTGTTTGAAATTTGCAGGGTGCGCTGATAGCAAAATGTGATATACTGTTACGCAATTTCTTTAGTTATTATTACGCCAGTTTCTATTTTTTGCTCGATCTGACATCTTAGCAACAAATAATATAAGTATCAGAAAAGTGACCAGTTTCATGGAAAAACTTTGTGTAGAATTCTGAATCTGTTGGCAATTAAATAACTCTGAATGCATTCTTTAACAATTTTCACATCATTTATTTTGGAAGATTCTACTGAAAATTATTTAATACCATTGTTTGTTTGATATTTTGGAAATTTCATTTCCTGTCCAGAAGTAAATACAAAATCATTTGTGAACCAAAGTCGGTAGAGTCCAAAATTGTCTCCTCGAATTCAAACAACACAGTTTTCCTTTTTCAGCTTAGAAATCGGCTGCAAATTATTGCTTTAGAATAGTGCAGTGTGTCGGTAATTTCATTATTGTTGCATTTTGACGAATTATTTGCCAAAATAGAGATGAAGAAAAAAATTTTATTCCCAAAAATTTATCTTGTCGAAAAAGTTCGTAACTGTCGAAAAATTAGTCACAAAACTTTATTACTTGAAAATCTTGGAAAAAAATCATTAAAATTCACAATTTAGTACAAAAATATAAAGGGCCATTGGCATTTACCTTTATTAACAGTTTAGATTTTTGGCCAAAAAGTTTTTCCATTTGAAATTAAATTCTGAAATTCACTTCCAACAAATATTTAAGCATGATTTGTTGAATATCGAAGAGAAAAATGCCATAGAAATAAAAACTTGACTTCGAGCCTGTTTTCAAATTTATTTTATGAGAATTTTTTTAAATATTCCTGAAAACGAATTGCCATAAAGATCTTGATCTATCCCTAAAAGAATAGATCATTTGTTAAGTTGAAACAGTGATAAAAGTTTGCGAAAATGCTTGGAAAAACATTTCTTTAAAGAATTTGATAAGTTTTAAGATTTCGATCATCAATTTTTAAAATGGTCTACAGACTTGTTTGTCTTAAAAGCATCAAAAAATAAATTGTTTGCAAATAAATTTTTTGGTATAAAAAAATTTCGATGGCTGAAAGTGATCCTTTTGCTCATTTCCCTGAAAAAAAAATATTCTTAAAATGAAAAGGTGAGATGAAAATTGCTACGACATTTAGATTAAGCAAAGTAAAAAGTGTTTCCTGAAATTGAACTCATAAACTGAATCAGTTAGTCAATGACTTCAGTTCAATGTTTTAACTTAATTGCTGAATCAAAAATTCTATAAGAAAAGTTGAACTTACCTGGAATCTGAAATTTTTATAATGAAATGATTGCGAAAAAATTGATTTGAAAGTCACTTCTATAGCAAAAATCAATATCAAAATCACTTATCCACTGACCTACCAGAAAGTAATTTTTTTCTTTGGTAGATCACTTGATGAATGCTTCACTTTGCTAGCAGCGCTCTGATGACTTATTGAAAGTGCTAATTAATACTTAGTCAAACCATCGTGCAGTCTGTATCTTTGATAGCAATTTTCAAGTCACTACTTTTTAGCTCACCCAAAAATTAATCTTCAACTCAAACTTTCCATTTTTTCATCAAGCGAGATTAGTTTTTCTTATACTTAAGCTCCAACTTTTACTCTTATATCTAGTTTCAAATGTGCTGGTATATAAAATTATGTTATCAAGCTATGTTTAAACCTCTTAAATTGTAAATGACTCCTCGATGAACAAGTGACCACTTCACTACTTCCTTCAAATCTACTTATGAATATTTTGAAAGTAAAATGTTCGATATAATACCGATATTTTTTTCGTCGTGAAAAAAACCTTCCATTAGACGAACAGTCCCGATGAAGTGATCCATTGTAATCTGTAAACTTGGCCAGATGAGCGCATCAAATGACTCTTCATCGTCTCCTTCGGTAATGCATTGAAGGAATCTTCCAAATTCCATGTGTGCTTTCTCTAACTTTTCATGCTAAAAGTTTTCGCAATTCAAAAAATTTGTATCAAAAAGAGTTCTCAAAAGTTGTCAAGAACTTTTTAGAGTAATTAAAATGAATCAAAGTAAGTATGCATTTGATACAATAAAAGTTTGCATAAATTCGTCACTTCCTAGTCAATTTTAGCTGAGTACTGATTTCGTTAAAATTGTACTTACAAAAAAATGAAGCTTAGTACTCAAAAGCTGTTGTTTTCTTTGATTTCAAAAAGGTTACTCAAAACAGTAGCTGTTGGTTTTAAAGAGTATTTATATCTATAATGAATAATGTTAGCTTAATGCTTACTCAATTACTCAAATAATGAATTCAGCTCTGTAAGTGATACAAATTTATAATTGTTACAATAGGAAATTAATGGTAAGAATATTTAAGAAGCACTATTACTGCATGAATTAATAAGTAGAATGAGTTATTATTCTCATATTTTATAGATATTTGAAAAAAATTGCACATTACCGTAATTTATATAACAACAATTAACAGCACTCACAGATGTCTTGATATTTCGGGGATTAAATATTAGCATAGCCGATAATAAAGCTAAATGTTGATAGCCGAATTCTAAAGAAATAAGACGTTCGGCTAAATCAATTAAATTTTCGAAAATTTTTGTTTCGTCGTCCAATTCTGTGTATTTAATTCCAGAAGCGATATACGTTGTATCATTGCCGAGAAATAAGCAACGATCTCGAAAATTATATTCATGCGAAATTTGTAGAATTCTTACTAGTAGCCAAGAATTTGAAATCAGTTCTTCTTGTTCTTCTTCACTTAACTGAAATTCATTAAAATGCTTACGCTTATTCATTAGGCGACAGATTTCTTGATTGATTGTTGAAAGTAAAGTGTGTTTATGAACCGTTTCGTATACTTCAATTGTTTGAGCGAACTGCTGTATTCTGCATTTGATAAGTGAAATTATTGCTGCTAATCGTTTAGACGGTACAGATGATTCAAATTTACACTGCAAACAGATGTAAGTGTAATTAGAATTGTAAAGAAACGGTACTGCCATCAACGAGAAAATTAGTCAGTAATAAAATCCAGCTTCAGAACCATTAATATGGTTCATTAACAGTTTAAATAAGTTTCAAATAAAAGTTAGTTTCATTACAATTTACTTGCATCAAATTAATTAAGCAACTTTTTAAATGTAATGTGTAAATCAGACTACGAAACTTCAAGATTCAGGAAAACTGATTTTCATTTTAAAGAAATACCGAAGTTTTAATTCTTAGAACCCATTTAATGCTAAAAAATTACATTCACTTTTGAAGATAATGCTCAAAAGTCACTTGAAATAGATAAAAGTTGATAATATATTTCATTTGCTATTAAAGTTGACATCTGAATTTTGATTCCTTACGGTGTCCATCAAAAAGAAATTTATTTGGCAAGGAGTATTTTTTCTCATTCATATTTGCAAACTTGTTATTAATAACTTACTTCGAGCTCATTATCCAAGATTTTACAGTAACTTCTGGTGATGCTATCGATACGAGGCTTAGATTCGTCTATTTTATTACCTCTAATATAATCTTTAAACACTTTTTGTAAGTTTTCCCCTTTACGTTTCGAACGATTTTCGTCGATAATTTTTCGTTTTGCTAATCTTTCTTCGTGATTCAGTACCACTGCAAATCAACTCCAAATTGTTACTTGAATTCGTCATTTTTATTTGTTCTTGGAAACTCAATCAAACAGAATAATACTAATTTTTAACACACGTGATTTAATCATATTTAAAATTTAGTATTACATTAGCAATTACTTAAAATATCTGTAATTTGTGAGCAAAAACATATATGCATTCTGTGCGATTTTTTAAATTTTTAGTTGCATTCGTAAACATCAGTATTCAATGCAAATAATTTGATTGCTTAATAATTACTAGCTTAGCAGTTTTTTGTAGTAATATTTGTCTTGAAAATTAATTGGCTCACGTGATCTCATCATTCCATTTTCAGTGCATTTTTGGAATCTACAAAACTGACACATATTTCGAGAAAGTTTGTTGATTATGCAGTTCTCATCGTTCTTACATTTGTACTGGATTTCTCGCTAAAAATGATAAAGATTTAGTATCAAAATTATTTAATTTCTGCTAACTTTCAACAAATTTATGCTCTTTTCTTAATATTTATTGCATTCAAAAGCAGTCAAGTTTTTAGTATTTCTCTATATCTAAAAATTAAATGCCAGTGATTATAATGCAAAAGCAACGAATATAAATATTTCTGATTAGTTTCGACTAATATTCATTTCATGGAACTTTTTTTCGTTTAGAATTATTATCAAAAAGTAAGCAGCAAGGAAATTCTGATTTGTAACTTACAATTCTGATTCGTATTATAATCTATCATTGTTCTGATAAATAGATAATTAAGTTATAGTAGATTTTTTGGAGATTTGTGTGCAATAAAATCATTAATATCAACTTAACAGTACTCAGTTCATCTAAAAAATTTTGTCCATTCACTATTTTCAGACTTATTCTAATTTAAAACCCTAATGTGTCGAAGGAGAGTTTGTTTTGATGGGAATTTTGTATGAGAGACTAGTTAATGTTAGCTGCAATAAAAATTTTTTGCAATAGAGACAGGCATATTTCAGCGCAGTTTTTTAAATCTAAACAAAAATTAATTGTTAGTTGTTTTGAGCAAATATGGTAAGAATAAACTAACAGAATCAATCAAAGTTATTCAAAAGTTAATGAATGTTAGTTAATTATTATTTGACCTGAACTGTTCTTCGAAAAAATCCTTTGCACCCCTCACATGTAATTGCCCTGTAATATTATTAATGTAAAATTTTCGTAACATTTTTGACCTAATTTGATAAATTAAAATGCTTCTGCATCAAAAAAGGAACTGATATGAAAATAATAAATTCATTTTTATGAAAAAAAAGCAAAAGTAATGGTATCACTCTCGGTCTTTAATATTGAAAAGTTCTACCTGTAGTGTAATCCTGTTGCATTATCCCCACAAACAACGCAAGGTTCACCTGGCTTCAAATAACGTGGGAAGTACTGAGTACCTATTATCATTATAAATTATTCACAAGACTTGCAGAATATTGACGTGCCTTACTGTAATCACTTACTCGATTGAAATCTTATTTATTTCTGTTTTGATACTTTTCTTATAAATTACTTATGTTGATATGTTTTATGTACAATCATAAATTTATATATATTCATTAATTTTTTTCACTTAAGCATTATAAAATTGAAATTAAAAAGACTTAAATATTTTTGAGAATTATCAGATTTGGCTTTCAGGTACTGAACTTTTTAATGGAAAAATTATCACTTTATATATGCTTTAATTTTTTTTTTAAAAATTAGAAGGTAAAACATATTTGTTTGCAAATCTATAACTGTCTTCAATTTTCTTGATTTTAAAATCTTTATATTTACTAAAAAATTTCTTGTTCAGTTCATATGAAACTTTAATATCATTTTTAATTTGCTTTGATATATATATGAGTGTCTTTTTACACTTATATGTCTTTAATTTTATTTCATACTCAATTTTTAATTTGAATCGTTTATAAATCTGTTTTAACATATAATCTTTTCGTGCTAGGAAAAGAATATAAATATGTCAAATGCTCCATTCCTGCCCATAGCATTACAACAAAAATCGTGAAATTGCATACATAATCAACAGCTACGGTATGTCATTTTGAAGACCGAGAGAATTTTGTACAGCAGGATGGGATGATCTGACGCAATGCAAAGGGGTTTCTGTGCTGACCTCAGGACAGTTCCGGCCCGTGATAGTGACGCAACGTTTTTTCTCAAGCTGCAGATGGGCCAGCAACTCATCTTCACTACACTTCGATTTTTAACATAGCAAAGATGAGGGAGTCGAATTTTTTCTTTCTTAATTGGTCATTTTCATCCAAAAATATACAAATGCACTCTTTCGTAAGCATTGCAAAAGTTAAATTTGAAAAAAGCTTAGAAAAGATTTTGCCAGCAATTAGTCGCCCTACTAATGAATATTGCACTCACGGAGCATATAACAAACAATTTGGCACAGTCTAAATCCAAGCAGAAATGATCGTGCAAATAGAATAATAACGGGGCTAAATTTGAAAAGTAGAAGACAAATTATCAACAAAGATTCTTTTGTCTTAATTCTAACTTACCCAAAAACTTACATGGCTTCAATGTTTACATTCTTACCATATTTCTTGTAAGAAAACACTTCCACAAAAATTAAATCGAAACTACACTTTAAATTTGTAACTGCAACTGATATTAATTTTATATAACTGGAAGTTTAATCTTCAACTAATTGAAATTTGCTCAAAAATAAGTTATGTACATGGATTTCTAATTAAAGACTTGAAGATTGCAAATATGCGGAAAAAATTTAAACATTGGTATTATGTAAATATTTGGAATTAATACTGTACATTAAAACGATTTATCATTACTTATTTTGATCATTATCTTAAACTAAAAGTGAATCACTTTCATTGCGATTCACAATATTATGGAATATGCAATTAAGAAGCGGTCAACTTTCTAACATTTTACAGCGCCCAGTTGTAAAGCAAGCAACCAAATTTGATTAGAAAAAAGATACCCAACTTTTCGGCTCAAACTGCCGTTAAAGTCTCTCTTTCAACCAAACTTTACAATCATTATCTCAAGAAAAATCTTTTTTTGCAATAATTATTAGCAGAACTAACCAATTCATTCACTTATGCTATAAATGCTTTTAAATTTTAGAGTAGATGAGCTATAGTTTTCATAAACTTCTAATTCAATTCCGATTTGAAAGAAAACTCTGAAGAATGTATCATCAAAAAACTGGCAAAATTTTATTCCATAATAATAATAATAATTCAATCAAATAATATCTAAATTAAATTAGCTTTTGTTTTTGACAATTTTTTGTATTACTTTTTTAGAATTTTGTAAAGTGTGCAATTCTACACAAGACAATTAACGTTGTAAATAGTAATGTGAAGTGAGTTTACTGCATTCAAAAATAACCATCAGTGAAAATAAAAATATGTTAGTTACTGATTAGACCATTTGTTACCAAAAAATTATTTTTTTTTCAAAATACTGTTAGATCACTTACCTTTTTTCCGAGATTTTTTATCTTCACAAGCATTATTATCCAGTTCTTGCTTGTCCATGTTGACCTCAACTTGTGACATCCTTTCTTGATTAATGAAGACTTACAAAAAACTGTAAAAGTAGTGCCCGCCTACTGTCTTCAATGGACGAATGGCAAATGCAAGAGGCTGAATTTAGAAAACAATTGGAAGATTCCTCTTGGTCCCATCATTCGGTTAAAGTTGCGCAATCGAATGATCTCGAATTTTCCACAATGTCATCATGCAAAATGATATTCCATCAAAGAATAAATAAATTCTATCTCGTGCTGCTATTACTCCATTCTTCGTCTTATGAAAAAAGTTGGTGGCGCAATTACTTGAGGTACTGACTTGACTCATTCTATCGTTTACTTTTGACCTCATTAAGAGAAAAAAACGGTTAGCAGGTAACTTCAAGCTTCAATTGATTTTTCCCAAACTTTCAAAAACAACGGTATTCTTAACTTTTTCATCCATTACTTTGATACCGTCTACCCTTTCTCGAGAAGTTTGTAATAATTTTCATTTCAATTACATTTCTTCCATACGTTTTCAAAAGTCAATTTTAAAGTTGATTACTTCAATTAAATTTCTCAACCAATTTCTCAATTACTGATAATGGCTCTTGAATTTTTTAAAACTAGTTTAAACACATTTAAGTTAGAATAAATTAAATCTCCCAAAAAATTATATGCAGAGCTAAATCTCATAATTTTAAAGAATTTGTAGAAAGTTTATTAGCATTCTTAATTTTCATTGTACATCAACGGTCATTTTCAGTCTTCATTTAATTGGGGCAATGAAAATTCAGCTATTCTTATTTGTTCTATCTTAAAAATTCTCATCCTAAATTAATAAGTTTAAAGCTATAATCTTCTCTACTGAGTATAATCTTCTCTACTCGATTTTGGTGACAGCAATTTGAGGAAGTTTTAGTTCAGAATGAACTACATCTTGCTCTGAAACAGAGAGAATTATCTACCTATAATTTGCATACCATTTATATTGTTTTTGAACATGCAAATTTTGAGCCTGAGTAATAATGATAAATGTGAGGAGGGAACGACTTTTGGCAGTTAATTTCATTATTACTGATATTTTGGGCTGAATTATCTTTCTACTTCACTTGACATGGCAGGGTATTTAGTAATTTTCACCATATTTGTTTTTTTCGAAGTTATAAGCTCTGTTGATCAGGAGTTTTGTGAAGAATCAATAAATAGCTGTGTAAAGCAAAATATGGGAGGTAGTATTGCTGGGAGTTTCAACAGGGTACCAGAAAATTTTCATGAACTGACTGAAGTTTGTTTTTTGCTGGATGAACTTGTTACATGCATTCTAAAAAAAGTAAGTACTTTATTCAAATTGTAATCAATTGTTCATGTTTTATATTTATTTTCTGAATATTTGTAGTGACTGAAACAAACATAAATAAATAACATCTTAGTTAGAGTTTTTGCATGATAAAATTTCAGCAAACTTGTAACTTGTTAGAAAATTAATGGTAAGGAGTAAAAAATAATTCAGCTGACTTCATGACAAAAACAGGACATACATTTCATCTGCAGCAGAAAGTAAATAGTGAGAAAAGCATAAGAATGAATGGAACACAAGTGAAGAGTAAGGCCCATGCTACAGTGTTCCAAAACTGGGTGAAAACTTGCTTTTCAAACAAATCGTTGCTCCAAACATATGTAAGATTTAAATGAATTATCGATTGAAATTGTTTTTGATTATAACATTCTAATGCATGTTAGAAATAAATGATAAATTTAAATCATTTGGAGGATTAGTTTTCACAATTCAAGAATATAGCCGTTGCCTAATTGTCTGTGCAATTTGTTTCAGAATATATCTAATTCTCGCCATGTAATTAATACTTACGTATATGGCTGCCATCAAGTAACTATGGGAAATTCCATGACTGATGACTGTTACAAGTAGGGTTTTGAAAACATCTTACTCTTTGTGCAAAGAATTTAGTTTGATATTTGCACAAAATCGCTAATTATCAGAGATCAACATATGAAAATAAATTTACATAAAACGTGCAGTCAATAACTGTTTGGAATAAATTTAGAAATAACGAATTTGAAGTATTTTTGACGGTCATTTCATTTCAATTTACTCAAAATAGCAAAAGATCAGCAAAAGTTGCAGTACATTTTTGAAAAAGTGCTTGAAATACAAGTCAAATGGTATCTGCCGCCAATGGAAATGTGAAGAAAAAGAAAAGCGCAACAAAGAAACTTCATTTTATATGGAAGTGATGGCTGTCCAGCGTAAAATAGATGATGTTATAATAACAAATACAGACTATATCGACCGCATGAGGGATCCTACACGATTTGATTTGGCAGTTTTTACGAAACCAAACAGTATTTTGCACACTATCGCAATTATCGCAGCAGTATTAATTACTGATATTTTCACATAACACATACCTTGTGATGATGAGAAACCTACTAGAAAAAGCTAAGACATTTTCCAGAAGACTAAAAAGCCAGTCCACTTTCTGTGCTATGTGCATGGAGAAAAATGCTACTTTTTTGTCGGTCGCACCAAACTATTAAAATAAAAGATTACTTTTCATAATTGTTTAATGGACTCATTCTTTAGCATGCAGTTGACAACATTTGATATTTATTTAGCTAGTTCATCCCTTTATTGTTCATTCCAATCCGTAAGTCTTTCAATACTGAAAGCAGAAAGGAAATTCACATAAATTTGCTAAATGTGAATGTAAAGCAGTTTGGGACAATCCGAAAGAAAATTACATTTTTCTTCTCGCTAACAAATATGAGCCTACAATAGGTGGGGTCAAGTCTAATCGACTCAAATATTATTCGGTACAAGTCACAATAAGTATATTTCAACAAGCAAATTCATTAATTTAGAAATATGTTAACAGAAAAAGATGTATGT